CTGGAAAAAATGAAAGGAAATCGCTTAGTTTAATACATCAGCTGTAGACACTTGCAAAATTCGGTGACAGGCAATTTTCTAGCTGGTATTTGTAAAAAAAAGTGGTATATGCCTTTTTATCAGATTACAACAAATATAAAAGTTTCGGAATTTTTCGTTGAAAAATATTTTATCCGGTGACAGAATGGCGTGTACGTGCAAAATATGTTTACGTTTTCGGAAATGATTGCGCATTTGTAATAACAGCCGAGGGTGCGCTTTTTTTATTGCTCAACGGTATCGTTCAACGAGAAATACGTTTCAAACATGAAAAAAGCAAGGCAGAAGGAGAGAGAGACAGAGACAGAGAGAGAGAGAGAGAGAGAGAGAGAGAGAGAAATGGAGAAAGAGAAATGAAACGCGAAATTCTCGCATCCCGTCCATATTGACTTTGCTTAGTGAATATAGATACCTATATACATCGGATTGAAGTGAGTTTTGGGGATCGATAATTCTATTGACATTAATCCTCTAGGATATCTATTATATATAGGTAATCACATTCTGTACGCATGTATATTCATTTTGGTAAAGCTGTCAGAAGGCAATCATCCAACGGCATATCCTTTGATCCTGATATTAAAGTTAAGCGGCGATTTGCCATTACTAAAGTTGGTCGATCGCGTTGCTAATAACCCAGATTGTCGATTATTTCATACTCGTCAATTGACAAATACTCGCTCGCGTGTTTAAGCTGTTTATTCTCTTTCACCCCAAATTAAACGACGAAGGACAAGTCAGAGAGAAATTTCGAGTGCTCTTCACGTCCTGACGGAATAATTCATTGCACTCGGTTTTTCGCCAGATAACATATGAATATCAAGTGTGTCAAAGCATTGACACAGCGGCTTTGTGCCTGGGATATGAAAAACCGAGGTAAAGTTTTGCATACTATGAATTTTTTAAGTCTCGTCCCCTTTTGCATGGGAGATATAAAGAGTAAATCCAGTACACTCGAAGTCTCATGCGCGAATATTTAAGGTTGAATATTAACATCAGGCATTAACATTTTTTTTTTATACGCCGGAATTAAAATTAGAAAAACGGCGCATGGTTGCGCTCCTTACTAAATATGCAAATTACTGCATGCGAATAAATGAACTCCGCTCAAATTGCCATTAATGTATATTCATAATATATTAACCGATCAAGTACCTTCCAAATTTTCTGATGATTCCTTTCGTGCAATGCAAGCAAAAAAATTAAATATATAAGATACACATTAGAGTAAAAAAAAAACATACAGAAAAAACATTATTTATAAAACTTATTTTTTTTTATTTTCTAACTTTAAAAATATATGATGTGTAAAACACTAACATGGATCTCATTTATTCTAGGCATGTTTGATAATTCGTTCATTTAATTGATTACTATATATTTAATTTCGCAAATACGTTATAATAAATCATTCCAGGGCGAATTATATTGTCAAATACACGTGGAATAAATGAGATTTATATATTGGTATATTTTGCAACAAATCATTTTTAAAGATCACAAATATGCATATGTGTGTGTATTTATTTATTTATTCATTTAAAATGCATTTAACAGGTTGATAATTATTAATCACGACTCGTATAGAAATATAAATTATTCTAACTCATATTATGGTATTATTTTATGTTTGCATTACCTTCACGAATGTTTGCATGATTGAATGGGGTTTATTGCACATATGTGGATGCGGCCTGAGGCGCGATTTCGCGCAAGTACATCGCTGATTTTCCGCAATTGTCGCCGTCGCGAGGAACGGCCGCAGCGAAAATGCATCTCGACGCTTCCTTCCGCACCGTCGGCGGCGGCGTATTAGCATTGGGAATGCAAATAATTGTTCGCTGCGGTAATATGTGTGTACGGGTGTGCGTGTGCGTGTGCGTAGGGCGGTAAAACCGACCCTGGAATGTAAATAGAGCCCGACTTGGCGCGATGCTTCCGCCGGGAACGAGCTTGCTGGTTTGTTCGCTCTGATGTGGATACATACGCTTTTGTATGTGCACACATAACACGCCCGACCGGCGGATCATCCTATCTGTCGACTCGTGCAAGACACAGCCCTTAGTTTCCTGCGGGAAGTATTCGGAATGCACATGTAAAGAAAAGATACGCGATCGAACAAATTCGAGCAGGGTGAACAAAATCTGTCGCTAGTAATTAATTATCTTGCAAATATTTGAATAATTAAAGAATAATAAGGAAGAGGAGGATATCTTCTGTCTAGTAATTAATTATCTTGCAAATATTTGAATAATTAAAGAATAATAAGGAAGAGGAGGATATCTATCGTTGTTTCATTTTTTTCAGATATCACACACACAAAATTTTACGGACATCTTTCATATATTACAATTATATATTATGTATAAATAAAAACACTTTTTAATTATAAACTTCAGCTTTAGCAACTGCTCTCTGGCTATGAAAAATGATCGTTAATTTTGAAGCGCCTTTATATTTTATAAAATATTAAAATAATTATATATGAAAAATGATTGTTAATTTTGGAGCGTCTTTATATTTATATAAAATATTAAAATAATTATATAAAAATTATATTCGGAAAGCACATGTAAAGAAAAAAAAGATACGCGATCGAACAAATTCGAGCAAGATGAACAAAATCTGTCGCTAGTAATTAATTATCTTGCAAATATTTGATTAATTAAAGAATAATAAGGAAGAGGAGGATATCTATCGTTGTTTAATTTTTTTCAGATATCTCACATACACACAAAATTTCACAGACATCTCTCATATATTATAATTATATATTATGTATAAATAAAAACACTTTTTAATTATAAACTTCAGCTTTAGGAACTGCTCTCTAGCTATGAAAAAAATGATCATTAATTTTGGAGCGCCTTTATATTTATTTATATAAAATATTAAAATAATTATATAAAAATTATATTTGGAATGCATATGTAAAAAAAAAGGAAAAGAACGCGATCGAACAAATTCGAGCAACGTGAACAAAATCTGTCGCTAGTAATTAATTATCTTGCAAATATTTGAATAATTAAAGAATAATAAGGAAGAGGATACCTATCGTTGTTTAATTTTTTTTTAGATATCACACACACACACAAAATTTCATAGACATCTCTTATATATTATAATTGTATATTATGTATAAATAAAAACACTTTTCAATTAAATAAACTTCAGCTTTAGGAACTGCTCTCTAGCTATGAAAAAAATGATCGTTAATTTTGGAACGCCTTTATATTTATTTATATAAAATATTAAAATAATTATATAAAAATTATACAAAAATAATATAAAAATAATTATATAAAAAGATATTTAGGCTGAATCAGATGGTTCATTTAAAATATTCAAAATGCTCTTTTCGAAAGAATACGAGAGAAGATTTGTTTGCAAGTTCTGTTTTTCTCGCGACACGTGTGTTTCAAGTTTCACGAGGGGGAAAAGGAGCGTTCGGTAAAGGACAATAAAACATAGCATCTCTGTGTCGTAGGACACGATTAATTGCTGGTCCGGCAAGAATTAATCGTCGGGGCCGCGATAATTTATCGCGAGCCGTCTCGCCACGATATTTTAGCCGCGGATATTTTTCGCGCTCGTTTTCGCGCTTCGCTAACCTACCTGCCGGTTTTCCGCCGGAAAAAGGAAGCGGGTTCTCCGAAATCGCCCCTGCAATTCTATGTCCATCGAGATTTGTTCCACATGACATATTCCTGTGTATCTTTCCTGTGTAAATCGCTTGGACGTAAAACTTTTATATTCCTAATCTCTGCAAAATTATTAATATTATAATAGAGATATTCTCCCTCTCTCATGATACATACAATAACTAATTATTATACATCAAATTTTGAGCTTCAGCTACCTCTAATAAATAAATAATTATTCGATAAATTTTAAATAATAAATAATTTTAAATAATAAATAATTTTTCGATAAATTTTAACAATTAAATATTATAATATATACTTCTATAAATATATTATTTATGTGTACTGTAGAGACATTGACTTGTACAATTTCCTCATCTTATTTCTTTTCTATATATATATATATATATATATATATATATATATATATATATATCTTAATGTATGAAATATGATAAAAAGATCTGACGAGAAAATAAAAGAAAATAACATATTCCGCAGAAGATGTAGATTTTAATAACACTTGGCACACATATATGGAACAGTCAGAAAGATGAGTGATTTTGCAATTTTCCGTTAACGCGGGAAAATAGATTTATGTTGTCATATCTCGCGTATTCTAATACATGAAGTTAAGAATCTGCAAGTAAAATCAGCCGCGGCCTATTTCCTCTGGCGGTGAATTAGTCGTTATAAAGTGAGCTTTTAATCCTTAACGTTAGGACACTCATATTTTTCTTGCAACTTACTTTACATATCCGATGGAAGAATATTAAGTCTGAATATTAGGTCTGATATAAAGAATAATCAAACGAATGAACGTGATTACGTAAGGAAGATTAAGGACGATGAAAAAAAATATATTGATATTAATTAAATAATTTATACGAAAAAAATTCAAGGATGTAAAATTGATTTTCATTTTTCTTACATCAATTATTCTTCTAAAAAACTTGTGCTTTTTTCAATAGTATTAAAATTGATTTAGTTATTATTGATTGCATTTATTGTTATATTAATTAAATGTAAATTTTTACCATAAATCATCAATATAAGTAGTAAATAATAATTATAAGATATTTAATAAAATATATTTAATAATATATTATATTATATAAATAATAATTATAAGTTATTTCCTTCCCCATATAATTCTATAAACGGAATCGTTAAAATTTAAAATGTAATTACGATTCCTTTTGAAGAATGCAAGTATGAATTAATCATGCGGATGGGTAATATTTACATTAATTAGCTGTTATCAAATATTGACTCTGCCGGAACATCTCATCATATTTTGTTTATTTCTATTTACAGAAATTGCAAACGATTGGCGAGGATTTCTGCGGTCTCGATGTGAACACACCTTTAGGTGGCGAAGAACCCATGGGTGCGACTGCAGTTTTGACATTCGAGACTCACCTGACGGCTGTGGCAGCTACTTCGACGGGCGATTACACTGTCGTCTTTGTAGGCACCAATAAGGGACACCTTAAGAAGGTTAGTGCTCGAAATTATTTAACTTGATAATTCAATAATTTATCTCTTTTAACAAGAGATACAGTCATTATTTCTGCTAGGACATGAATATCTTTATATGTTCGTAAAAAATTGTCTTGAGGCTAAAATTATATTATATAATTAAATTAAAATTATATTAATATATAATTAAATTAATATATAATAAATTATATAATTAAATTAAAATTATATTATATAATAATTATATAACAAGATTACTATAAAGAAAAATATACCGGGTTCGATCGAGTTATCAATCATGGCTATTTATGGTAGCAATTTTCTGTAAATAATCTAAAGCATATAATTAAAATATTATTTCGAAAATAAAGCAGTCAATGTAACTACTCCGAATGATATTTATAAATATAGTCACTGTATCTTTTCTTATTTCTTTTTCTGCTTATATAAAATTATCATAGAAATTATAAATATATTTTTTTTTAATTAATTAAATGATATCAGTTCGTAATTTTTGTTTATAAACTTAAAGATATTTATTATTTCATGATGTATATTACTATTTTAACCAAAAATTGGTGATACACACATTTTTAAACTCTTAAATCTTATATATTAATGCGCAAAAATATTGTAAGCAACAAAATAATGTTTCTGTTCAGCATAGAAATTGAAATATCTTCATAAATTAATTAATTGCGATAATCAACATTACAAAGTTATCGATTAGTGAAACGTAGTTCGACATTTGACCATTACTTGCCTTCCCTAATCTCCTCGACGCTAGAGGCAAAGAGTTCAGCAACCCTTAACGGGCGAAGCAGGAGATCAAATGGCAAAGTTCAACAGTCGTGCACATGCACATGCACATGCACACGTCATCTCACCGGAGCACACGCCCGCATATGTATCTGAATCTTTCCCGATCATCGCAGGGCATGATCGTTAAATTAATCGCGATCACAGTGCGATTACCACGTTCCTGCATCAAACACTGTGCAAGCAGTGTGGCGTATAAACGTTACAACAGGCCATTTAATTGGTTTCGGGATAGATGATAGAGTCGACAGTTCGTTCAAAAATCGCCAACGTGTATTTGCTGGATTGAGGATCGTAGAGATAATAATATTTATCGTATATTAAAATAAAATATTGCCATTAAAATAACGCTTATGAAGAATAATTCATAGAAGAATAATTTCATTGTTAATTGGATTGCTGAATAAGAATGAATTCTTAGGTTTTCTTTTGTTACAGATATTAATTTACTAAAATTTATATATTATTCTCTGCTTTATAAAAATATCATATAATTTTCAATATTTTCTCTTGAATTTGACATGATGAAGATTTGTTTACATCTGATCGTAGATAATGACATTTATCGTTTAAAATAAAATATTGCTATTAAAATAACGCTTATGAAGAATAATTCATAGAAGAATAATTTCATTATTAATTGGATTGCTGTATAAGAATGAATTCTTATGTTTTCTTTTGTTACAGATATTAATTTACTAAAATTTATATATTATTCTCTGCTTTTTAAAAATATCATATAATTTTCAATATTTTCTCTCGATTTTGACATGAAGATTTGTTTACATCTGATCGTAGATAATGATATTTATCGTTTAAGATAAAATATTGTCATTAAAATAACGCTTATGAAGAATAATTCATAGAAGAATAATTTCATTGTTAATTGGATTGCTGAATAAGAATGAATTCTTATGTTTTCTTTTGTTACAGATATTAATTTACTAAAATTTATATATTATTCTCTGCTTTATAAAAATATCATATAATTTTCAATATTTTCTCTTGATTTTGACATGGAGATTTGTTTACATCTGATCGTAGATAATGATATTTATCGTATGTTAAAATAAAATATTGCCATTAAAATAACACTTATAAAGAATAATTCATAGAAGAATAATTTCATTGTTAATTAGATTGCTGAATAAGAATGAATTCTTATGTTTTCTTTTCTTACAGATATTCATTTACTAAAATTTATATATACTCGATATCGCTCTTCTTAATTCATTTTTTTTTAATTTGCAGATTTAAAAAATGCGTTTCTTATTCATGATTTCGAGGGGCAGTCAGTTTTCTCGATAGAGAAAGAAACGATAAATATAAGTTGTTCTATTGTAATATAATAATATTTCTAGAGTAATAATGCATATAATACATATAAAGAGAGGAAAGGAGAGAACATATTCGCTTATATACATACAGGGTATCAGGGCAATCTCTTCCCAAAAAAAAGCTCTTGTAGCTTACCTCGAGTGCTTTTCAAAACACTAATAAAATATTTTTGCATCGTGTACTTTTCGAGGCTTTAAATAATCTCTTAATTTTATATAAACCATAAAATATCTAGTAAAATATTCATTTTTCGATCATCTTACCTTAATACTTTTATATACAAAATAATGAGAGGAGTTAATGGGTGCAAAGAAAATACATAATTGTTTCGAAGAAAAAATATATAATTTGCAATTAACAATTACACATTTTTTTCCGAAACAATTATGTGTTTTCTTTACACCAATTGATTCCTCTCATTATTTTGTACATAAAAGTATTAAGATAAGATAATCGAAAAATGAATATTTTACTAGATATTTTATGGTTTATGTAAAAATTAAGAAATTATTTCAAGCCTCATAACTAAGCTACAAGAGCTTTTTTTGGGAAGAGATTGCCCTGACACCCTGTATATATATGTGCGCTTTTATATCTACATCTATACTAGACATATTTTGCGCGATACGACATTACACGTATATCTCGTTATAAATTTATATTATTTACGACACTATAATAATGAAATCTCTATTCGCGACTCATGGTACTCTTCTGAGATTTATCGGTCTCGTAAACGATGACGTGTAACTCTGCTTCGGACATTTAACACTCGGGAACGGTACATCTAGAACCGGGTGGCTCGTGATTCGCTTTGTGAAATTCGCCAAGTAATATTATGCCTTTTGCCATTTCAACGGAAATGGATTATCTCGGTGAGACCTCGCCTCGAGCACATCTAACTAATGTTCCTTTCGAGTGTTCGATCAGTTAGTTCGATAGGTCAAATCGATTTACGCGAGTGCGCGCTTATTATCGCAGTGAAAAGGTTTATTAAGTCAGGGAGAAAAGACTTCAAAATACAAAAATCATTAATGTAAAATTAAGAATGTATTAACAAGGATGAAAATATTAGATGTATGCAAAAAGTATTTGATATTAAGAATGATATGACAAAAAAAAATTATTATAAAAAATTTATTATTATAAAATTATTTTCTAAATTTATTTCGGATATAAAATTTTCACATTGAGCATTTTTATACAATGTATTAAAAAATAATAATGACGCTGATGTGTGATATCAACGTGTAATAATAACGATGATAATATTTTAATGATTTTTGCATCATGATAAATTGCCAAAAAAATATTGCATATTTTTAAAATTATCACTATTCAGATTGTGATGAGAAAAAGTATTTCATTTGGAATTTTTTTTTTTTTTGATGATTTCGCATCTTTCACGTTTCCATTTGCATGCTGATTGTTTCCGAGATATCGCGAAAAATATGATTTTTACGAATTCAGTGAAGTCCAAATAGTGGGATTTTTGCGCGTGTTGAATATTTTATACCCGATGAAAGCAGCTTGCGCGCACGTTTCGACGAGATGACAGAATATCATTTCCAACAAGTTGCAATATCTCTGCTTTATTTCTTTGCAAATTCGTTCCATTAGTTACATGAGATCATCACGAATTATTCCTTTAGCCATGTATTATTGGACGTATTTATTATTAAACTTGAAATCGATACCTTTACACATTTAATATTCAATATCAGAATTCTCGATTATTCTTTGATGTTTGAACAAAATGGTGATGTCTTATAATATTGATATGTATAACATATGATATGGTGATGTCTTATAATATTGATATGTATCACATATGATAATTAAAATTTTATAATAAAACATTAATAAAATAATGTGTGAAATTAATAAAAATATTGCTAAAGAAGTACTTGAAATTTAATACGAATATTTATTATGTAATTAATTAATATGTGATACACATCAATATTGTGAAACGTCATCATAAATAAATAAATAAATATATATATATATATATATATATATATATACATATATATATATATATATATATATATATATATATTTCAAGTATGTCTATATTTATTTAATATCAAGCTCGGAAGATATTGCCAATAATATTCAATATCAAAAGCAATATGTCACAAATGCACTAATATTATCAAAATAAATTGTATCACATATCGATATACGAGCAATTTTACGATCGTACTATTCATCAGCATCGCGAAACCACGATTGTATTAAGCGGATGGCTGGGGATTGTGTGAGGGTTAAATAAGGAGATAGGCAAAAGTGATAAAATATACGCGTCGTACGAGAATCGATGATGTCGCGATAAGAAAAAGAGATCGAGGTCATCCCCACGTATCGAATATATAATTTAACGGTTGATCGATTTCGGTTCATATCGTCTTGCACACGATCTAATAATGCAAGGGCTTATCTTCACGTGTGACACGTGGCGATATATGACACACGTGCTTGTTATAACTGTGTTCAATATTAACCAATACAGTTAAATTGGCAAGTGACTAGGTTAATAACTCGATTTTCACTATTGATTTTATGGACATTTGATGTCTTTTCCGAGGCAGAGGAGGGAGGAGGACATATATAAATATAGAAAAAGGATATAATGATTATAATATATTCAATTTATGCATATATACAAATGTATATGTGTGTTATAGATTATATCTACATTTAATTAAATCCCACAAATTTGATGATTATTGATCTTCGAATGTGATATATAAATATAAATGAAAAGATTGTTAATCATAACTGTGTTCAATATTAACCACAATTAAATTGGCAAGTGACCAAGTTAATAACTCGATTTTCACTATTGATTTTATGGA